AAGTGTAAATCGATATGTGTGCTCACCGAGTCTGTGAAAATGGTTATAGACCCGCCACGCTCCTGGCTGTAAGAAGCTACAGCAAATAGTGGTTCAGTGAGGTGCCAATTTCCGATGGTGCTAACTGCATCGAAGTCAAGAAATTCCACTTTGGTGTCAAAGTAAAGCGTCATTACGAGAGTTCAGAAACAAATTCCTTTTGGTGGCTAGTTTGATATTAATCGAACGATATAAAACGAACAAATTCGGTTGCCATGGGACCTCTGTGCTTCTAAATGGAAAGAAAACAAATATAAATACAGGATAAATGGAAACTCAACAAAAGCAGCTGACACTATAGCCTTTTAAAGGATGACTACATTTATTTCACATTTTTTATTTATTTTTACAAAACAAGTATTATTGATGAATTTGTTTCTATCAGAAATGTTTACAATGAGCAAAACATTTATAACAACTTAAAACTATAAACTAAATAACTTTGAAAATTGTTTAAGGTTAAATTCCCAGCTTCAGTTTGAGGATAAAAAGTCGTACAAAGAGTGCATTTGAATGGTATGTCTTCATTTTATATTATCATATGTATGTATATCATGTTACAAGTTTTTCTTATATATGCCTAAGTGAAATTCACATATGTAGATAATTTCGCTATATCAATTGCAGTTTAAAATACGATTCCGTTTAAAAAATAACTGTTGATTCAAAATCACAGTAGCGTCATCTATTTTAGACGAGTGGATTGAAAACCAACTTGAGTTCAATTTTAAACGTTATAAGCTTACAAGAAAAGGGCGAAGATACCAAAACCTAAAATAATATAATATGACGCAAGTAGGCTAACACCGATTTTGAAAAAGAATTTTAAGTCATTTAAAAATATATAAATAAATATCGTCAAATTCGTCATTACAGACAGTCCTTATACCCTTATTCGGACACTTCCCATAACCGGACACATTTCATGAAAACAACGATTATATTAATATTTTCATACAAAAACAAATTTTTTTAACCGGATATGAGTGCGTTCTAATGAAAGGACAGGAACACTAATATGTATATAGATAATATTTCGTTCAAATTAGCAAATATTAAATATGCTAAATATTATACACTTTTGAAATAATTTGCTAACGCTCAGAATTTTAAGTGGGTTTTAATTAGCTTTTACACACACTTTCATCGATACATACGTATGTATTTATGTATGTATAAGTGTAATATACATATGCATGTAGATTAATTTAAACGCTCTTAATTTATGCAAGTTATACAAATACATATACATATATATATATATATATATATACAAATGTTTGTACGTATTTTCGCATAGCCTAGCATAAATTGCACCGGTAAATACTATATATACATACATATGTATATGCAAATTTTCATATTCCTGTTTGAGAAGTGATCGACCCATTTGAGTTTAATTTTATATTTCACCACAACAGACTAATTGCTATATACATAACTTATATTTGCAAGAAATTATATAATATTTACATATGTTTGCATACATATAAATAAATGGCGCAGATTTCCTATTCCTGGAAATACAGATAAAAATATTTATTACAATAAAACAGACACAAAACAATAGAGAATAGTGTACCCAAGTACATACATAGGTATGTGTGTATATTAAGCACGTCATTTATTACTTATGTGTGTTATCTATTTTTTATCTATTATGTATTTTTTTTAAATGCAATGTGCTTTTTGATAATTACCGCTTTTAAATGGTTTTGATTTTGAAATTTTTCCGTACACGCAGGTAAGCAGTGAATGATTACTAAATGAGCGCTATACACATAATTGCAAAAAAAGATAAATATGTGTATGTATGTATATCTATTTAGTAAGTTAATATTTTCAGCTTCGCATTTCCTAAATTACTTTTATTTGTAAATTTTTTTTCGAAGCAATATTGAAATATTTAACTTTTTGCTTTATAGTCCATGATTGATTGTAGATCTGTTTAATTTTCGGTCATAGTTTATTACATACTGTAAACTATGGTACATAATAGTTTATAAAACTTTTCCAAGAAAAAAACGAAATTCGAAAGAATTTTCTTCACTCATGTTTTCATATATCTTTTGTAATCATAATATTTATATGTACATAATATTAAATTAATCTGTGTACGCACATGGTTAAAAAATCCACTTTCGAAAATATCTTATAAATCTATACACTTGTGGTCACAGCACCACTTTTGTAGGCGATCCTCAGCTTTAGTATGACTGTGAAACGAGAGATAAATTATTTTTATATGAAATTAGGTTGCACACTGTTCAGTTATAGTCGTGTTTTACACTATATGACCAACCATATAGAAATTGCTCTAATATTCTAATAGTATAAACAAATTACGCATGTGATCTTATTTGAATTATATTTGGTGATTCGTTTTTGTTGACCGCAAGGGTATGTATTTATAAAGATTTTATTCCAACAGAGTCCTCACCTCCACTGATTTATCAAATTTTTTTGTTAATTATAAATGACAATTTTTAAATTAATATATTATATATGGTAATATGTAGAATATTTACTATTCAGCAGGATGTAGTAAAGTTTCAACACGGCAGAATCCCGTAGACGCCAATACTAGCCGTTCATAAGTGTGTTAAATGTAACACAAACCCATTAACCGGTTATTTCCAAGATTCATCTTACATACCGAAGAATGACCAAACTTACACCTCGAATTTCAATCTTTGACTTAATTAATAAAAGGCTTAAAGGTGATTTTTATATCAATTATCTTTTATTAACACGTTTTCACAAAAATAAGCGATTTTCGAACTTTACAAAAATGTTGCTCTTTTAACATTCCCTGCTTAACATTTATAACATAACCCACATGGTATTAAAACACCGGCAATTGTAAGATTTTTTAGGCAACTTGTGTGTTATACATATGTACATATAAAAAAAAGTACTGGAATTATTTTGCGGTAGTGCGCATATAGATTTTCTTAATACAAATTGACATCGATCTTTTAACATGTTTATAGCTAATTGTTATTTTCGAATAGTTAAATTAATTATTTTAAGTTGTGGAACATGTGTACTGCATTAAATGCATTTGTGAATGAATGGTGTTGCCATAATTGCAGCGGTTGAGGCGCGGTAAAATGACATCATACGACATCTATGAATGTACATACTCATTTGCTTTAAAACAATTTATACTTGCATATGCAATAAAGTGTAGTTATTCATTGTGCTTGTATTATTTTACTGACCCTTTTTCTCCTCAGCGGCTGGAGCCGTCACAGCCTTACTCTCAGGATTCAATTTGTACATGGCATGATTAAGCACCGTTGCGAAGCTCAGCCAAGCAATGTATGGAACAAACAATAGACCAGCCACTTTATTTACCCTATAGAAGAGTATACCACAGGCTGTGGACGCTGCAGTCAAAGCAATGATATCGATGAGCCCCTAGGTGAAAAGCGAGAAACATGTAATTATATATTTTAGCTATGAAAATTATTAATAATGAGTCCAATCTTTTAGAAACCACTTTTTTGAACTGTATAGTAAATAGAAACTACTGGTATATGTTAAATGCGCACTTATAATTAGTGATATGCAATGTACAGTTCTAGAAAATGTTCTTTGTATAGTCAGTTAGACTTTTTAATACTCAATTTTAAACGTTACGCAACTTACGCCTTTGATATTACGTTGTCCAAAGAAAATTGGAGTCCATGCCCAGTTGAGTGCCAACTGTGTACCGTACGCAATGAGCGGTAACTGTGCCTCACCGCTGAAGCCGCCACCATCGCGCCACACCAGATATGAAGCATAGCCCATGCCTGAATAAAGCGATGTCCAGACCGGTGCAAATATCCAGTTTGGTGGCCGGTATGATGGAAAATTCAGATTCTTGTACCACGTTTGTATATTTTTTCGAGTTATTATGCCATTTATGACACCACCAACGTTTGGGAGCACAACTGCGCCTATGATTTTCAGCACATCACTCATTTTTCTGTAGTTTTATGAAATATTTTTGTTTTATTTGACACTTTTTTATATTTTTAACCTTAAGCCGCTTGTTTCTTTAGCTGCTTTTCTTTGCGAATTACCGAAGTGAACTAAACTATCAGCTGTCGGTTTCATACTTCACGCGGTGGGTTGTCGTTGTGATATGCCTACGAGCCCACCGCCCCGTCCCTCCATCTGATAAACTTGAAAATCTCGGTTTTTTCTCTCTCTATGACTGCTTAGTTGGTAAACATCTTCGTGTCTACATATATACATACATACATATATATGTATGTATGAACAACTCTACATACCAGAGATCGGGCCATAATGGAAAATGTTATAAAAAACGCTTATTTTGAGGCGCTCTCACACTGGAATAAGTTGAACATCCCTTTATTGCTGCTACGTACGAATGTCTATCAATGTACACGCTAACGGCGGACGCACCTTTTTTGCTTTGGTTTTATATTTCCCTACATACATAAGTATGTTGACACAAATTTATCGCCTATAATCTCAATAATAGTATTTTCCCGTTTGAAAAACGGGTTAATATTATTAAGAGCTATATTGCATATTCTCTTGTTTTTCTCCTGGAATGACTTTAGTTCAAATTCCACATTCCTAATTTCTTTAATTTTCAAGAGTTTGGAAATATAGAAAAATTTTAATAAATCTCCATATGTACATATCAACAATGCTTATAAGTTTGTATGCCTACAAAGGGTAGTGTTCTTGTCAATAAACAAAAATTATTATTTGTACATACATATGTCTGAATGTATGTAACTGCTCTTGTGTTTAAGCCGTTATTAATTTTGATAGCAACAATTAGTGTCGGATTAACATATAAAAAAACACTAAACGGCAATATTCTCTATACAAGTATGTTCACATTTTTTAAATCTAATGAAATCTTTCCACTCCAATCTATGAAGAACTTAAAATTTATGCTTAGAAAATTTATAAGCATATAAACACTAAAATTAGTTTCAGTAATACAATTTATTTTCAGTTATTAATTTAGAATTACATTTTGGTTCTTTACAACACCTAAAACTAAGCAAAGTATAAACAACCAAGCATAAATCTAAATCGATGTCCAAAAATCAAATAGATGAGGAATCCATTTGAAAACTATATGTTTCCTTCTTGCTTCGTATATTTACTGAAACATTTTCTTGTTTTTATTTTAAGAAACGCTAACTTTAAAACGGTGTTAGTGGTGAAAACTGTTTTATCATGAACATATTAGTATGAATATTTTATATGTATGTGATGTAAAGTCGTTTATGATAGCAGGTTAGTATAATATGTTGAAATAATGTTTAAGAATAAAATAAAAATTCACAAAATGCAAATGCAATAGCAAGTTAAAATATTCATTGAGAGTAATTCATAAAAGCATGAATGAAAGTAAGAACAATGCAACATAATTAAATTCAGCTAAAACTTCTCATCATATTGGGGAAGAAGTTTTACTATTTCGAAAGGGATGGTTTGTTCGATGTAGCAGTATTTTCAATTGTTGGTGACAAGGTTGGTGGCGTTGTTGGTACTGATTTCGTTTCTACCAAAGCTCGGGGTTGTTCAGCTACTGTTTGCGTACCGGACACCGTACCTTTCACATTCATTTTTTGCTGTTTTCCACCAGAGTTTGCATTTGTTTTACTTGCTGCTGGCGGTGTGTTTGCCTTCTTAGTAGTGCCAGGTGTTGTCCCGGTATTTCCAGTATTAGGTCGTGCAGATTTAGTATTTGCTCCCAATGTTGTCTTGGATTTTGCTGATGTATCCGTTTGTTGTTGTTTTTGCGGTGAATTTGCCTTTTTTGCTGCTGAATCAGGAGTCGCCTTTGAAGCGGGAATTATTGGGTGCTGTTTGTCTGTTGTTCCTTTTTCGGGTGACAACTTTGTCGGTGTGTTTGGCATTGTTGGCGTTATTGGGGTCGTTGGTGTAGATTTGTTGTTATTCGTTGACTTTGATTTGACTTTTGATGTTTGTTGTTGTTGAATAAGTTGTCCCGGTTGCGGCTTCGTTACTAACTTTAATTTAGCATCGCCTGCTGTAGGTGTCTTTGGCTGTTGTTTCGACGTTTCGTTCGAGTTCTTAATATTTGTGGTCTGTTTTGGCGGTAACGCCTTTTGTTTGGGGCTTATTGATATGGGCACAGGTTTTTCATCAACAATTTGATGCTGAACTGATACATTGCCAGTCGATGATGTTGATAGTTCGGGGGTAATAGATCCTTGGTCTTGAGGTTGGCACACTTTCTCCTCTTCGACGGTAGCGCTTGAATCTAACTGTAGTTCTTTTACATCTGCTTTATTCAATATCTCTGACTTCTGAATATCCTTCACTTCCACATTTATAGTATTGTTTGATGAGAATAAGACTGCAGCCGGTAGTGTTATGGGGGGTTGTGATTGTAGTTTTTCGGCCATTGATGGCTGCTTGCTTGCCGAATCTATAGCAATCAATTTTTCATTATTCACATCATCGATCTTATTATTATTGGCAGGTATTTGCGATGTGGGTAAAGGTATTGCCGGTGGCAGTGATTGTACTATTTCAGCCAATGTAGGCTGTTTCACTAATTGTTCACCTAAAGTGTCGCCCTCTGGCGTAGCAACATTTTGCGATTCAAGTATCTGCACATTAGGAATCTGTTCCACTACTGTCATACTTGTATCATTGTTTTCGCCTACTTTCGGAAGAATTTTATCTGTGAATGATGGACTGTCTGCAATGATCTCTTTTTCAGCACTAGGTAAATTTTCTGTAACAATAATAACACCCTTTACATCTGAAACTTTGTTTAATGACTCTACCTTACTATCAAGACATTGAAGAAATTCCAGGCTTGTTTTAGGCAATGGACTTTGGGACTTTTGATTATTCGTATTCAACTCTTTCTCTTGTGTTTTTTTAACAGATGTGTTTGTAGCTTCTAGCTCCTCAGTTAGCACGGATTCAATCTTTTTTTCTACCCCTTCCTGTTGGTCAGATGGAAGTTCAGGTAGCGTCTCCTTTTTAATAGTTTCCTCTGACAGGTTGTTCAAATTTTCTATTAGAATATCTTTAGCAATTTCATTTACTATCTGCATCATTTTCTCGCTAGATTCTAATGATTGTAAAGCAACAGTTTTGATGGATAAGTCTGGTGGTTGTATATCCGTTTCGGCTGGCTTTCCGGTTTCTATAGTGGGTTCTATAGATAATATATCTTTGTAGGTTTCTTCAACTTGTTGACTTTCAGGTTTTTGCTTATCTACCTCTTCATTATCATTAGCTACAGAATCAGATTGTTGTTGCTGATTCTCGTCCTGCTTAATTGATTCGGGAAGAGGTTCAGCTTTTTTGTATTCTTTGCCATCATCTGCCAAAACTGTCTTCACTTCTTGTGAGCTTTTAATTTGAGCGTCTGACTGTTTTTGATTACCTGAAGCCTCTTTTACATTTTTTTTGGTGCCTTCAGATTGTTTTTCACTCTTGTCAGCGGGCCTTTCTTTGGATGATTTTAATATTTTTTTTTCGTCCTGCTTACCTGATTTTGGCAGAAGTTCCGCCTTTTTCAATCCTTTCTCAGTATCCGTTTTTCTCTGGATTTCTTGATTTTGTTGTTTTTGTTGAGGCTGTTTATTTTTTTGTTTTATTGGCGATTCATTCTTTTGTTGTTGTTGTTGCAGGGGAAGTTTTTGTGCCTGATTTAAAATCGACTTGGTTGGTTGACTTTCACCTTGTTTTTCGATATTTTTGTCTTCGTTTTCTTCAAGACCTATTTGTTCTTGCTGAGAGTTTAATTCTGGTCCCATTTGTTTTTCCTTCACCTTTGTTGTAGTTGGTAGTTCTGGTTTCGCCGACAATTGCTGTAATTGTTTTGTTTGCTGGTTATCCCCATTATTCTTTACATTTTTTGATCTTTCAGTTATTTGTACTGGCTTTTCCGATTCGATGACATCAGTAACATCAACTTTACTAGATTCATCAACTTTTCTAATGCCGTCTAATTTTAAAGTTGAAGTTTTCGAAGAAATTTCATCAGGTTTCTTATTAACTTTAATGGAGTTTTGACTTTTATTTTCAAGCTTAGATTTTTGCCTGGAAAGTTCCTGTTTTTGTTGTGATTTGTGTTCATTCTTTTGTGTCCCTTTATTTCTTCCTATATCATTTGTTGATTTTATATTTAGCTTCTCAGTTCTATTTAAGTTTTCTTTTTCTGGATTTATTTCCTGTTTTTTAATATTAGTTTCATTTTCGTTCTGTATTTCCAACTTTTCGTTTGATATTACATTTAAATTTAAACTTTCCAACGGTTGCACATTGTTTCCCTTTTCATTATCCTTAGCTTCCGATAAGAGTGGTAACACTGCAGCCGATTCTCCTTTGGTTTCGGTTTTTTCAATTGCCGGTTTTTCGTTAGTAGTAGTAGTTTGCTCTCCCACTTTCATTGCCTCTATTTTAGCCACCTCATCGAAGTCACTCACCAACATAGGTACATCATCTTCCTCTACAACGCTATAAAGCATATTTGTACTTGCAGTCGCATCACTACCGTCCATAGTTCCCGCCGCTTTCTTTGTACCCGTCATTGAATTAGCGAACATGCGCAGCTGCACCACCGTCTCTTGACCCAGCTGTGGCAATATCTCCGGCAACATTTCTACAATTTTCTTTGTCTCTCCATGTCCGGTAACAGAGAAAGTATTTGCAGAGAGAGATGCTTGCGCTTTTGGATTATTAAAGTGAATAACGGTTAGATCGTCTTTAATTATATTCACTTCTTCAATTCCCGGTATGGTACTAACGGATAACTTTTTTAAAGAACTTTGCAACTTTTTATCATCCGTAGTGGCAGTCTGGTGCATAACCTTCTTCTTACGACGGGCTGAGCCCTTGCCTCCTATCCGCACTTGCGATTGCAGCCGCTTCAATTTTTCCACATTCATCTTATATGAATGCAATTTACGTTTGAATCAAGTTAATACAGTCTGAAAACGCCTACTTTTAATTAGGAATTACATAAAATCTGACATTTTTTCTTCCAATCTTACCCTCACACCAAAAATATTATTTTGCTGCTGTAAAACTCGTGGCTGCAACAACGACTGTGGTATCGACGACTATTCAGCCAAACTCAAGGCCCAAGCATGCAAATGGTCGAACATTTCGAATTTTGCATTCCTATACACACAGTTCGGCAATTGTTGCCGAACAATACATCTGCCTCAGAGTAGCAGGTATATTAATATCGCAAATTTCTTTGCAAAAGATATAAAAAATTCTCACATCACATAGCAGACATGCACACATCGTACCGTTGTGCGCTTAAAAATAAACATAAACCCCACCAAGAACGGAGCATTTTAGCAATTATTGCCATTAACCATGCGACTTATTACATATTGTGTCTGTTTGAGACTGAAAAACAGAAGCGACTGACAAAAAGTGCACCGCAACATAGGATAGAGTGGGTAGAAATATACAACAAAAGTATGTTTTAATGTGCTCATAGTGGAAAAGTGGAAGAAGACTTTTTGTTGCGTATAATGCAATTGCAATGTGAGAATTTTACATCTCTTGTAGATGAGTTGTTGCTAACTTTAGAAAAATGCACGCTTTATCTTCATGGAAACAACCTCAGTTAACGTGTTCGTGTAGAAATTTTTTCAGAAAACATTTATTTTTCTTTTTTGCAAATATTATTTGTCTTGTTAAAAATCTTCATACCAAATTCATATCTATGTTTCACCAGATCGACCTGGTGCACCATGCAGAGTACAGACAGAAATAAACTGTTCCCATAACCAAAAACTTTCAAAAACTAGTTGGGGAATGTTTTCTCTCACCTATACCTTCCCATTTATATTTATGGCCATTACTAATTTCGAAAAACAATTGTTGTGAATTATCAAAATATTTTTTTTTATTTTTCAAAATCAATGCCTGACTTATTCCCCAATTTAATCATAAACAGATATCATTAATTGCAAATACCTCTTCTATTGTTCCAAACTTTCAGTTTCTTTAGCCAAATGTTTTACCTTCTCCCATTGGGATTCCATTAATTGCAGTGCCGTTTGAATTTGTACTAACAATTTCTCTTCATTGTTCATCTCTACGCTTGCTTCTTCATATTTTGCATTTTCAATTTTCAACGACGCTATCATTACAGAGTTCTATTAGGAGAAATGAGAAATTCACAACAATATTTAAAGGAAATCAATATCCAGCTCACCTCAAGAAATTTTTGTTTCATGTCTGCTAACTCTTTGTCTGCATTCATTTCGTCTTCTTCAGTATATTGCTTGGAATGATCATAATCTGTTGCCAACAGGACGTAATCCGGTATAGAAAAATTCTTTAAGTCCATTTTTTCAATAGCAGTGAGTTTTTGTTCCATGTCACTAAGCATTTTACTTTTCACTTTTTCTTTCTGCTCTAGTAAAAATACGGTTGTATCGTCATTACCCATGGATAATTTGTTCACCATTGATTGAAGTGTCAGTGATAATATCTTATTCAAATAATGCCGCCCTGTATATGCATAGTTGTTCGATATGATCTTAATTTATTAAATAGATGGAAATACTTACTCTCTAACGAAAACTGTTCTACAGAGAAATTGAAATGCTGTATTTCATATTCGCTTTTTTCCATTTTGCGTTATTTTGTGAAATACAAATTAAATAAAAAACGTTCTTAATTTTATTCTTAAAACAACAACAAATCAAATGTTGTGACCGTTCAGTGGATGCAAAGATGAGGTTGTTTAGTTCAAGATCGATAATTGTTTGATATATGTATAAGAAAAGTTTCGCACATCTATAGATTAAAAATCTCAAATTTAGAGACTTGAGACTGTATCAGTAATTCTAAAATATAATAAGATCACCAATTGTTTTTTTCCAAAAAAATTCTCTATCTGTTAATATTTATAAACAAGTCAAATAAGTGGTACATAGAGTAGTCAATTCCAGATGAAAATACAAAATAACGAAAAATTAGGTTTACTAACATACTTATACGAAAATGTATGTTAACCACCAATCCAATAAGCGTATTGTTAGTTATTTTCATTTAAATGTTCATGATTTTTGGGGCCAATGTGGGAAACGTCGGAACCAAAAGAAAACAATCACAATATCGGCACTAATGTAATAGTTATATTTAATTTTATTGTAAATATATCAAAAAAAAAAAACATTCGAATAAACCTGTTCTGAGTTAACAATTAGTTTTCAACACGTCATCTTTACATTAGCGCACCCTAATGGCACTACTGAAATGCATATTATTGAATAAAATTATGTGGCATTGATGTTTTGAGTCCGCCGGCACGTGTTTGTTTGATGTTGACAATCACTCCATTGATGAATAATAAAAGTACAATTCGATTAATTGTTTTATAAAAATATGTCCAAACGACAAAAAATAGAGGAAGCAGCGGAAGTGGACGATGGACGTACAGTTCAAGCACGACTCGTATCAGACACTGGCGAGGAGGCAGGTCCTCCAATTGATTTACCTCTTACAGTCACCGTAGAGCAGCTGGGTCTTATTTGTAATGCGTTATTAAAAAATGATGAACCGACACCATACCTTTTCTTTGTGGGAGAAGAAGAGATTAAAAAAACTCTTAACAGCGCATTGGATTTAAATTCAATAGACACTGAAAATGTAATCAAAATTGTGTATCAACCGCAAGCTGTGTTTAAAGTTCGTCCAGTAACACGATGTACAAGCTCAATGCCAGGTCACGCAGAAGCTGTAATTTCAATTAGTTTTAGCCCAGACGGCGAACATTTGGCCAGTGGATCAGGTGACACAACAGTGAGATTATGGGATTTGACAACCGAAACACCACATCATACATGCTCGATACACAAACAATGGGTTATGTGTGTTGCTTGGTCGCCTGATGGAAAGAAGTTAGCAAGCGCTTGTAAAGCAGGAAATATTATATTATGGGACCCAACGAATGGCAAACAAATCGGTCGAACATTAGTCGGTCATAAGAAATGGATAAACTGTTTGAGCTGGGAACCATATCATCAGAATCCCGATTGTCGTCGATTAGCCAGTGCCGGTACGGATGGAGATTGCCGTATTTGGGACACCGTGTTGGGACATTGCATTCTAAATATATCAGGACACTCTAGTTCAGTAACCGCTGTACGATGGGGTGGATCTGGGCTTATTTACACTTCGTCTAAGGATCGTACAGTAAAGATGTGGCGGGCAGATGATGGAATACTATGCCGAACATTTTCTGGACATGCTCATTGGGTAAATAATATTGCGCTGAATACGGATTACGTTTTACGAACGGGACCGTTCCATCCGATAACTGATCGTAAAAAGAAATATTCAGAAATTGAGAGTAAGTATGAATATATTAAAAAAATTAAATGAGTGCAACCATATATTTTTAGAGAATGAATTGAAAGAAATGGCTTTACAAAGATACAATCAAGTGTGCCCCGATGGTGTTGAATCATTAGTATCGTGTTCCGATGACTTCACGCTTTATCTTTGGCGTTCAAAGCAAAATAAATGTGTAGAACGAATGACGGGTCACCAAAATGTGGTCAATGATGTTAAATACTCACCTGATGTGAAGCTCATTGCATCCGCCTCTTTCGACAAGTCTATTCGCCTTTGGCGCGCTCAAGATGGCAAATTTATAACTACATTCAGAGGGCATGTTCAGGCTGCTTATACACTGGCATGGTCAGCAGACTCGCGTTTGCTGGTGAGTGGTAGTAAAGATTCAACTCTGAAAGTATGGAGCGTTCAAACGAAAAAGTTGGCACAAGAATTGCCGGGTCATGCAGATGAGGTTTTCGCTGTGGATTGGGCTCCGGACGGGACACGAGTGGCATCTGGTGGCAAGGATAAGGTGGTGAAATTGTAAGTTTAAGCAAAACTTACTGTCAAACAGTAACAGTTTAACGTTGAATGCATACTTTATTATTCTTATTTTAGACCTTATAAATTCTATTTATTTTTTACAGATGGGCTTATTAGTATACATCCAGATGAGGTATATAACGTGTATAAATTGTCTTAATAGGAGTGTTCGTATCGTAGCAGTTTCTATAAAAAAATAAACGTTTTATTATAAGTTTAAATAAACCAAATAAGAAGTTTGTTAAATTATTTTTTACACAAAATCAATAATTTTGTTTCAAAGATGATTTTAATTTATATAGCTATGTCGACTCTTTAACAATGCACAAAAAGAAATGCTCAATTATATATGGATATTTACCCACAAAATTTTTTTAGAAGATTGATACATACTCGTATTTACATATTTTATATATTGATATAAATGTGATTATTGTTCAAGGTAAACGTTTTTTATGGGTATAAAAGTATGGCTCCCATAAATATGAGTTAATAACGTAAACTTACAACGACGTTTCCTTAAGGTTTCTTAAAACTGATTCTAAACTGACAGATTCTTCAATGTCATCACTGAAATAGCGAAACGGTACTGCCGCACGTGATTGCAGAGCCCGTTCTGCCGCCAGAAATCCCAACGCTACACAACTTTTCATGTCAAAGCCTCGTAAAAGTGCTGTTATGTAACCGCTTGTAAAACTATCACCTGCCCCTGACACATTTTTAATGTTTTCTACCTTAGGTGCTTTGTAAAACCGTAGTGCGTGAACATTTTGTTTACTTTCAATCATAGGTAAATAAGAACCAGTTTTTACATCAAACAGTGGTTTACCAGATGCAGCTAAGTCGCCATTCAAACTAAGTAATACGCCTTCTTGTCCAAGCGTTAGAACGATACAATCGAAATGACCTCGGACAAGTGCCAGTAGGTATTTGGCTTTCTCCAGTAAAGTCTCTACTGTATCACTGTTGTTAACTTTACTTTGTACTGGAGTTCCCGTGATAGCTTCTACAATGGTATGCAATTCATAAATATTTGGCGATATAATTCGAATCTGTTGTGTAAGACTCTTGGGTAGAGTAAACGGCTTGTGAGCAATTCGCATATCCGTTGGTTCAAAAAACACTGGTCGCCGATGTTTTTGAGCAAGACGCAGGACGCATGCCATTGCTTCAAAAGAGAGATTGCTATCTATTACAATTATTGGAGCGGAACTTATCTGCTCCTCATATCGTTGAATCACTTCTACCGTAATATTTTGATGAATCTCCATATTTCCTAAAATGATTTTGCAGTCACCAGTTTTATCAAAAAGTAGAGTGCAGAGGGAAGTGGCACATTCTTCATCGACCATTACAGAACTTCTTAAAGGCCTAGGAATCATTTTTAATAAACTTTTCCCGATTTGGTCGTCACCGACAATGGAAATAAAGTTTGCTGCGCCGTACAATTTAAAAATTCCCTCGGCAATGTTGCGGCCAACACCACCCGCTGATTCGGTTGGTTTTGCACAATACGTAGCTCCGTCTAGCACACTTGGAATTTCGTCGACCATAGTTAATGAAAGATCTAAAATTGAGGCACCAATCACTAGGGGAGAGGAGACGGATTCAGGTATAGATTCACCTCTCAACGTATAACTTTTACTTCTCCTGGATAATTCCCGGGATATTTGAGCAGCAACAGTAGCATTGTTTTTAATCAACGCAATATTTGCATCTAGACTTTCTCCGTGTGTTATTTTGGCTATTGCGGCTAGCAAATAAGGTGTTACTTGTTTGCCATAAATTCCCTGAAGTTTTGCTTCACACGTTGCCTGTTCGATTGCTGCTTCAATCATTTCTTTATTCGCTGCAAATTGCTCAGGTACAGGTACACCAATCAAAATTCCTGATTTTAAATCTAACTCTTTCAAAGCTTTTATTAAGTTAGCAGCTTCCAATGGCCCATTTAGGTTATATGGAACCTTGCATCCACTATTACGTGTATAAAAATCAGGAAAAGTGCAATCCTCAATTCCATAACTCGCAACACATACTCCTTGGGTCTCTAAGTACTCAAGAGTTCGAGGTATATCTAATATAGATTTAATTCCACTTGACACTACCGTAACTGGTGTTCGTCCTAACTCCACCAGATCTGCTGATATATCCAATGTAACATGTCCATCGCGGTGAACTCCACCAACACCTCCAGTAGCAAATATATCTATTCCCAACATGTGGGCTATGATCATTGTAGCTGCTACAGTTGTGCCTCCACTTCCCCCTGTAGCTACCAAATAAGGTAAATCACGTCTTGAAATTTTCATTATCTCATTATGGTTTTTCTTGACTATTTTTTCCATTTCCTCTGAGGTAAGACCTACCTTTATTCGACCGTCAATTATGGCAATTGTTGCTGCTAGCGCACCATTTTCAGAAACAAGCTGTTCCACCAATTGTGCTGTCTCAATATTTTGTGGATAAGGCATGCCATGCGTAATGATCGTCGATTCTAAGGCCACAACTGCTTTTCCTTGCTTAAGTGATCGTTGCACTCTGGGATGAACGTCAACCAGTGCTCTAAAGTTACGAAGCGAAGTTCGAAAAACATATTTTGAGCATACATGCAGAAATGGAGACGTAATGGCCAAAACCATTGTACAAAACACTTGTTTTCTATTTACTTCTATACAATGCTAAACAATTAATGTGCACAAACTTTTACGTACTACAAATACCCTTTATGCAGAGATTTTGTGGCTAGGAATATATAGACATTGTTCACTTTACCGCCTTCTGTCAAAGAAAGTTAATTGATATTTTACGTAAATTTACATTGAACAACCTACTACATCAATTTATGATCTTCATTAACCTTTAAAACTAAACTGTACTCTAGCACACTTGTTACTCCTTAAAACATTTTCAGATAATTTTGAATCTATTATTTATCGATAACATGTCTTTAAAGTCGGTATATCATTTATATACGTCAAAGTCAAAAGTYAACAGAAGGAATGTAAAAACAACTCGATGATAAAACTTGAACTGGAGAAATTTAAGTAAACAAATAATATTGTACAAAAATGGCTCTTAATCTTTCCGATCCTGTGATAAAGGGTCTTCAGCAGTTGGGCACAGATATAAATATAGACATTTCGAAAAAGCTAATAGCAAACACACTGAAACATACACTTTCTCCCGAAGCAAGTGAGTATGTATTACTTGAAATTTAACAGTATTTACGGAATGTTTTCTTTGATAAAGGTATTCCATCCGTACCAGATATCTACGTAACGAATGCAGATAAAGCGAAACTTAGTGAATATGCTGTAGTAACATTACTAGCGATAGCTACTAAACACGGAACTGATGCTGGGAGTTTGCGAGCATTTTTGGAAAAATGTGAAATCCAATCAACCATATTAGAGGAATTGGTCCACACCTATGAGGATCATCGAAAAGAGCTAACCATTCGTCAATTGCAAATAGGAAGTGATTTTCCACATATTACTGATGTACAATGGCGCATTATGTCGGATGTTCGTTCATCTACTTCTGATTGTAGTTCAGGCGAAGTGAGTTTTCATGTAAATCTTGGCCGTTATAATGAAAACAATGGGGAACGAGAAACTATTGTTGAATTCGTATGTAGCACTGAGGAAATGCATTTACTAATTAATAAGTTGAAAGAAATCGAAAGACACTGTGAAAAAGTGGCTACAAAATAAACCCCTAAATTTATGGACCTTGATACGGGAAAACTGTGAACGATTAAACAACGAATAAAACTTTGCAAAATGATCACTATAGGTGATTTCATTCCCATAAACAGGTGTACAAATTTTCATTAAAACAAAATTTTATTTCATTCAATGAAATTTATAACAATTTTGAATTTACAGTTTATTAGGGCAATGATAGCCTGCTATACTTGTTCGTCAATAAGCGATTTGATTTGCAAATAATCACATGGCGCATTCGTGTATATGACTCCAGAAAATGTAGCATCGCCGTCTTCGGTGCTAATTACAGTGCAGTGATTCTTTTTTATTAACTTCATATTAATCCCTCTAAATCGTTCGTCAACTTTATACAGATTTTTTCCGTTTGCCCAAGAATAAAAGGGTTTGCCGCTGAATGGATTCATAAAATCAGCCCAATACCCATGTAAGCGAAGCCTTGACGTAATTTCACGTGCCGCCAAAACAAACTGATCAAACGTTATAGGATTTCAGCATTTTTATATTAATAATCATAATTTCAATTACCTTTCTTGCTCCTTGCTCGTTATCACCTGAAAAACGCAATGTCATTAATGCTAATTTCTCACTAGAAACTACCTCAGGAGCCGGAAAAAGTTCGTGCAATGACTTTCTTATTAGTGAGGGGCATTCACCGACAGTAAATTGCAGCATAGCAGTTTGTTTTGCATTCTAAAAAATATTTCAAATAAAGTCACATTTGACTGTCTAAATGGATATATTCACAGCTTGCTACCTTTCCATCGAAATCGACAATGGACTCCAGTGGTGCTTCTAAATTGATGGTTGTTGATGCACTTTGCCACGCTGGTCCAACTGCATTAGGAAAATAGAAGCGATTCCCCCGAGGAGCAAGCAATTCCCAATTCGGTCCACATTCGCCACCAAGAAAATCAGAGTCATCTAAAAGAAATAAAAACTTGTATGTTGTCATTGGGATAGTTCCCATTTTAATATCACCTTCAACACGCGCCTTAGACTTTACCACCTTGAATACGCTATCAAGGTTTTTGGGGTCACTACGCCGCGAATAATGTGCAGTGCTTGAAACACCTACGATTGGCGTTGGCGACGATGGTGGCAGTGATAGCTTAGTTGCGTTATTAGTGACATTTAAGACCCCTCCTACCCCCCGATTTAGACATCGCAAAAGCGAAAGTGACATTAAAATATTTGTTTCGGCTATTTATTGCGTAGCGTTTGTTTTCTTTTCAAAGCATTAATATAAATTTTATTATTTAACTTCTATCGTGACGTTACCAATAGAATCCTTACGATTCGCAATCACTTGATTGTCGTTATAATCCAACAAGCCTTAACAATTATTTTCGAAATGTGGACGAATTACCCAAATCCTGGATATAATATTGCCCTACCAGGCGTCAAGGATTTCAATTAGTTCTTTAAATAAACACACAATTTAGTCTCGAATATAATTTCGTACTTCGTATTATTTTTTCTTTCGCGAGCTTTTTTCTGTCAAATCAAAATTTTCTGATCAGCTGTGCAAAGGGTTGCTAATTCAAATAACCAAATAACGTATTTTTCTCAAATTTACAAATTAAAAATATTCGTTTATGTATTTTCGTAGGAATAAAAAATGTTTTTATTTGTGTATAGATATGAAATATCTTATTTAAAATGAACAGGATAATTTTCTTCTTCTTCTTTCTTCTAGGTAAGTTTTGTCCATTCCTTAGACAATTTTAAGAAAAAGTTTTGGCAGCACTAGATTATGACATTTCCTTTCACGTGCGGTGCATAATATAAACAATGCGGTTTTTGCTTATTTTATTTGTACTTTTAATTTAAAATATTTGATTTAAAAATTGAAGAGAAAATGTCACGAATTATAGTAAAGCAGTTACCAAAGAATGTAAGTATACAATAAGTTATTAAATGAGTATATTAATCCTGTAATACACTTGCTATGTTAGATCAGCGAAGAAAAGCTGCGAGGTATCTTTGGTACTAAGGGTACAATCACTGATATGCAGCTCAAATATACACCAGACGGAAAATTCCGGCAGTTTTGCTTTATCGGATATCGTAATGAAGAAGAGGCACAAGAAGCTATAAAATACTTCAATAACATATGTATTCAAACAAGCCGTATCAAGGTCGAACTGTGTGCCGCGCTTGGCAGTGAGGATAAGCCGCTAGCACGTAGTAAAAATGCTCGAAAAGCTGAGACACAGACTATTCAGAAAGAATTACAAAAAGAAAAGGATGACAAAAATAACAGAAAAAAAGCTTCAAATGTGGTGGATGAAATTATAAGTAAACATAAGGATGATCCCGATTTTCAAGAATTCATGAGTGCACACGATAAGAAACGTACTTTATGGGCAAATGACGCCGGAAATACAACTGAGGAAATCCGTATAGAGGCGAAAGGAACTGAATGTGTCGAAGGTGAGGATGAAAGCAGTAATAAAAGTGGAGATGGAGATGAAGATGAAGAAAAATTAGCAGAAAAGCCAATCAGTGATATTGATTACATGAAAAACCTTATGGCAAAATCAATGAATGCGAATCATAAAAAAGATAAAACGAAAGCTGGGCTTGATTTGTTTACTATTAAAATACACAACGTTCCTTACAAGGTGAAACGCCAAGAGATCTTGAAATTTTTTAAACCGTTAAAACCATATTCTGTACGGCTACCTACAAATGTTCATGGTTTCTGCTATGTCGGCTTTAAAACGGAAAAAGAAATGGTAAAAGCTATGCTAAAAAATAAAAGTTTCATAAAAGGAAAACAAGTGTTTTTTTCCGATTTCACCGAGAAAAACAAAATTACAAAATCAAAAGGAGAGAAGGGAGAGAACACAACGGATCTTCATAAATTAAAACCAACAAACCCGAAATGGGCTCAACAAGAACAGAATACACAAAATGAGGAGGGAATAGCTGAATCGGGTCGTATTTTCTTTCGTAACTTGGCTTACACAGTTACAGAAGAAGATCTTCAAAATTTGTTTGAAAAATTCGGACCCATTGCTGAGATAAATGTGCCCGTAGATACCATAACTCGTCAAATAAAGGGTTTTGGCACAGTTACATTCGTTATGCCAGAACATGCCTTGCAAGCTTTTAACAAATTGGATGGCACCGATTTTCACGGTCGACTATTACATCTAATACCAGGAAAAAGCAGGGATGACGACCCAAAAAGTAATGAAAATGACCCAGCTCTAACGTTTAAACAAAAGAAAGCTTTAAAGCTGAAGAAATCAGCACAACAGAGTGGGAATTGGAATACATTATTTTTAGGTTCAAATGCGGTTGCGGAAATTTTAGCTAAACGTTTCTCCACCACTAAAGAAAAGGTAACATACGGTTATTTATGCTCCAATATTTATTTCCTCTTATGTTGATTTTTTCTTTATTTTATATACTTAAGGTTTTAGACACAAGTGAGGGTGGTTCCAGTGCGGCGGTACGTATTGCCTTAGGAGAAACACAAATTGTCATTGAAATGAAAAATTTCCTTGAAGAGAATGGAGTGCGGCTGAGTGTTTTTGATGCCCCTACAATGAAGCGTTCTAAAACAATTATCTTAGCGAAAAATTTACCAGCTGATACGACAGTGACAGAATTAACACCAATATTCGCGAAATTTGGCCCAATCGGGCGACTCGTTTTGCCACCCAGTGGTGTCACCGCACTGATAGAGTTTTGTGACCCATCTGAGGCGAAACACGCTTTCAAAAAATTAGCGTACAGCAAATTTAAAAATGTGCCATTATACTTGGAGTGGGCGCCGGAACAAACTTTCACGACAATGTTAAATGGAGAGCCTATTATTCCAAAACAAGAGGAAGAAGTTAGCAGTCATAATGAAACGATAACACAGGAAGCATTAAAATCTGAATCAACAACACAATTAAATGTCGATGGAAACCTCGAAAGCAAAACAGCTGAAGATGAAAACTCTAATATTGAGGAAGATTTAGTGGACGAAGCTCCTGAGCCAAATACAACACTCTTTCTTCGTAATTTGAATTTTAAAACCGTCCCAGATACATTACAAAGTCATTTCAAGCACTTAGGACCAATACACACTGTAGAAATAGCAAAGCGGAAAGATCCTAAAAATCCACGTATTCAAGTTTCAATGGGTTATGGTTTCATACAATTTAAATTGGCTGCAACAACAGAGAAAGCTCTAAAGGAAATGCAATTTACACAAATTGACGGCAATCAGGTGGAACTGAAGCGAAGCGATCGAATACTAAAGTAAGTAATACGCAATCTTTAGTTTTTAGCCATTCAATATTGTTGTTTATTCATATTTAGAACTTCGTCTAATATGCCTCGTAAACATTTGGTGAAAACACAACAAACAGGCACAAAAATGCTTGTACGTAATATACCTTTCCAGGCGAAAGAAAAGGAAGTCCGCGAAGTCTTCAAGTAAGAATAACAAACATTTGTATCAATGCACATACTCTAATGAAATCCTTTCATCATTCTATAGGGCGTTTGGTGAATTGCGTTCTGTGCGTTTACCAAAGAAAATGACGCCGGGCGCAGACTCACATCGTGGTTTCGGTTTCGTAGATTTCATTACAAAAAGTGACGCCAAAAAGGCATTCGAAGCGCTTAGCCAAAGCACGCATTTATACGGCAGACGATTGGTGCTGGAATGGGCATCTCCCAATGACGACGACGTGGAAGAAATACGCAAACGTACTGCAAATGAGTACTATGCTAGTACAAATAATGTCAAACGAAGTAGAAAATCTGTGTTCAATACTACCGAACATTTGGAGGATGCTGATGAAGATGACGAATAAACAGAAGGGAATAAAATTCGCCATGAAATTACTTTAATAAGTATGTTTAATAATAATATATTTGTTTTTGTATAACTGCACTACAAAATACATATTATATATTCGTATTTAGATAAACTATAAAGTAAATAAGCATCATATAATTTTACATACAGGTAAAAAATAAATTAAATTGTTTTAGCCTACGTCATTTTTTTTTTTTTGTTTTTTTGTTTATTTAGAATTAATATATTTCTTCGCATCCTTTCAAAAGGGTCGATAAGTAACCATTATAAGGTAAAAATGTAAGCGACCACAGACTAAGTCATTGTAGTACATTCATTGCTTAAAAATTATTGAAACTAATAACGCTAGATGATTGCCGGAAAAGAGGAAGTGTTTTAGTTGAACAGCAGTAAATTAAGGAAAAAGGTTAATTAACGGTGGTGTCGAAATATACACACTCATTTACTGTAAGGTATTTAAACAACCTAATATGGCAACTGTTCAGATCGCTATTTTTAAATACATATACAATTACTATTAGTGTTGTTGTAACAACTTAAAATTGTTTAGAGAAATGCTATTGAGGTGACAAGTCTGACCGGCTATATATCCTCCGTTTATACATGTAGAGACGAGTTGTGTGGAATTTTAAGTTTATTATGGAAACATAATAAATAACAACATGGTTTTAGAAATCAATTAAATTTAAGCTAATTCTTGAATACTTTTAATTGTAGAAACCCCTGATTTTCCAAATAGAGAAATGAAATAAGTATTTATAACATGGAGTACACGAAGATAATTGAGTCTGGTAATATGTTACATGCTGAATCATCTGCTATATTTATGGACAAGAAAGTTAACGTTAAATTCCCTCAAATTACGTTCCTTGCAACTTCATGATTATTTCATTTACACAGGGGTAAATAACTGTATTTCAGCGTTATATTAAGTTTTTTGTTTTTTTTTTTTCTTTGTTTGATAATGAAAATTATTAGTAGAACGCTTACTGAGCAGCTAAATTTATTCCTGTTTAAGTATTGTATTAATGTGTATATGTTCTATTGTATTGTTTTTGTAAACTGACAAAATTTTAAATTTTGTCTAACTTTTAATAAGCTTCCGTGATAGTATAAGCTGTGCAAATCTATGGTTTGGAGCAGTGTAGATAGATATATTTATAATAATTCGATACTTCCAGCATCATTAGAGTGCGTTTTAATCAATACTTTTGTTTTGTTTTGTTTCTTTTGTTAATAATGTATATGTATCGATTATAAAAATTATATTTTTCGGGAAACTTTTATCCGCCATACAATTGCAATGTTCTTAATTTCTTTGATTAATTTTTTTTGTTGCAATATTTCGTAAACTCTTCGGCTTCTTTCAGCATCTGCGCAATAGCGAAATGTCGGCGTTTGCACCGTTTTGCATATGCCTGTATAAATACAATGGAAGCTACGTAGTTATAAGAATAATTTCTCTCGCGCAGGTTATGCGTATGCATACAAAGGCCCTTTGCTTGCTACAAAAATATATGCATTTTACAATATTTCTGATTAGTCACTTTCACTTTGCCTATGAGTTAATATTTTAATCCTTTTTAATACGCGCCTGCAGGAAGCAATAGAGTATCCCTGCTTGGGCCATGACATCTACGGTACTGGAGGCTAGCAAGTCTTTCTGTTTAGCTTGCGTTTGACCGGGCCGCAATAACGTTGGACCGAAGACCATAGCTAAATTGTGCAGCGACATTTTGTTGTCGGCCTCCTGATGATGTACCCTAAAATTGAAGAACGCAAACAATTATTGAGAAGACATATAGATATGTTTAAATATTGTTTTCAAAATGACTGTATATACCGAATTAAGTGATCCAATATATGATTTATGGACGCTTTATTAGCCTGTGGCAATTCTTCAAATACTTTTATGAGTTCATTTATACGCGCCGTCTCGTTGTTGTTGCTAAAAGCGCTGAACGTTTCAAAAAATTTCGGATAGAGAGCATCGGTAAATAATGCCTCGGGTAACTCTCGCAGATATGACTTCAAAATACCCGTCACTGAGTGTATATCCACATCTTTCAGCAGTTGTTCGGCTTCATAGGCATCTTAGAAGAAAAGCAAATATAATTAGCAATAGTTTTCAACAAAATTGGTATTAGAGATCACATACTGGTTTCGAAAGACTTCTTCAATTTGGCCAAATCGGAAGCGGAGCCACTCACGCGATAAATTCCCACTTCAGACATGCCACGTCGTTCTACTTCACGGATGCAGGCACTGATAATGAATGGAATGTCTCGCTTCTCACGCCTGTGTTAAGTGCGAAATCGTTATACTGAAATATTACTGAGCGCAGTGCTTCCTACTTACTTCAAAATTTGACTCATTTTGGCACCAAAGAGCGCACCCGGCTTTGAAGTTGGCACACGTCGTAAAGTCACTTCGCCGGGTACAAATCGGAGTGTGGTATTCAGCGTTATGGTCTCGCCAAGTTTTAGTATACGCGGCAATGGTGTCTCCTGTAGCCAGCTACGACTAAGCTGTAACGAAGTTCGAAGCAAAGATATAAAGTCAATTTTCTGAATAACTTAATAGCTTTTATGACTTACTTTTAAGACGTGCTTGGCTCGTAACTTAGGACGTTCATGCGCTTCATACAACAAAACTCGTACATTCTGGCTACCCTCAAGCTCTAATACAAAGCTTTCATTCCAAAGTGGGCTCAAGCTACGACACACCATTTTCGTGGTGGCTTTGCGGAAATAATGACCATACGAATCCACTTCTATGCAAATGTACAAATCGGCAGGCTGGTCAAGACCCGTCAGACCATGCACTGTCATATGCAGATCGCCCACTAGTAGACTCTCGTCATTGGTATTTCGCATCAGATATGAACCCATTTCAGTCTTCATACCTTTCTGCATGGCAACGATAAAAGCGTGCACCTCCAAAGCGTTTATCGTGTTCGCTCCAGGTATGTTGCAGGTTTGCTAGAATGCAAGAAAAGCCAATTTTAAAATATCAAATTGAAATATGTATGTATAAAAACAAGTACATTTGTGCTTTGCTAACCTTCAGCGACAGTATAGATTCAATCCATTGCGTGCGCTCGAAATCAGAACTCAAAAAAAATGTTATTGTTTTATTGGTTGCTTTATTGGCAATGCGGAAGACTAAATTCGGCGAGGCCAATACCAGCTGCGACTCTAGGTCAGCCAATTTACGCCGATATTTATCACCCGAACGCAAACCATTGGACTTTCGTCCTTTATCGTCTTTCTCTTCGAGCAATAATTGATCACGTACTGTGCACGCTTGCGTTTTCAATTGCAATATATTTGCAGGACTAGATTCTTTGAGGTCAGCACTAGCGTCTGCCTCTTCGAACACCACAACATCTTTCAGCGGTATAAACCATTTCAGCTCATAGTCAATTCGATCACGTCCGGATGCCTTGTACTTGGCACAGGCGATCACATCATTGAACAAGAAGAGATGTCGCAACTTACGATGCCCATCCACCAGTTCAACAATGAAAGAATTCTTCACCATGCGTCTCAGATTTTTATTAGATTCGGTAGACAAACGCTGGTTCACCACATTGAACTGTTTCAGGAACAAATGTATGGTCTTCTGTGCCTGTCGCAATGGCTGATGATCCGGATGATTGGGTGGTGTTTCGCGCAGCAAGTCATTGAAAACTAATGCATTGATTTGTACACGCGCCACAGGTTTATGCAACAAATCCTCCAGGGTAAGCGATTGTTCAGTATGTAAATTTACGACAATCGTTGACACAATTTGCTTAAATTGTGGATTATTAGCGCTGCACTTCTTTACTGTATCAATTGCTTGGCCGTAGTTGTGCAGGAAAGCGCTATACAAGTTAAAACTGTCTGCGAGACGTTTGAAGGGTTCACCAATAAGAACGTCTCCTCCTTCGTGCGCCGCTATCGTTTTCAAATCGTTTAGAAATTGTGTGTGCACATCATAAAGTTCGTCGATTTTAAAAAATATCGTATTCTCTTCTTCCTCCTTGATCACAGGCTGTGATGTACCCAGTGTGGCATGAATGGCTCTCTTATACTGCGAAAAATAATAATTAATATGGTTATATGTTAATTTAGTAAATAAATTTCACACCTGTATCATTTTGTTGAGGCATTCCACGTATATTGTTTCACTTTGTATAATACTACTCAATATAGAGCGTATTTTAGCGCCTCGTGCGTTGCCAGAGACCTGGAAAAGTGTAGAGCAAGTTTCGTATTACCGACGTATGAGCTAGTGTATTGTTGTTTACTGTGCTTCTGTTTATATTTTTGCAGTTATAACCGTAATATGAACAATAATTTTAGATTATCACAACAGATCTCACCAGCTCTTTTGTGTCAATTATTATTTATTAATAAATGAAATGGACTTTATATTAAACTTAACCAGTCGAGAGTGATTTATTAATTTTAAATTAAAAATTTCAGTTAGTACATTTTTCAAAATAATTCTATTATTGTTTTGTTTTTCAAGTGAGAATGACAAAGTTACTTATGTATTAAACATATCTAATAATTATGGCAATAATCAAAATTTTGCACATTAAATACTCACTAGTATTGCTGAAACTAAATTCTGTTGGGGAAAAATTTTAGAAATAAAATGGTAAATCCAAAGTTAGTAAGTGTAAAGAAATAATGTTCAAATGTTAAAAATATTTCAATTTTAGTACAGTAAGTATATGTTCCAAAAATACTAGATCAAAAACTTGATGTGTTGGATGTAATATTCAAGGTAGTAGGAATAAATAGAAAAATAAAGGCTGCGACGGATTTGCCTTTATATGAAATTATTTCTCTAAGTTACAACATAAAGAAATTAATTGTTAATATTGCAAGTTTCGAGTATATGCGGTAATCATAAAAAGTCTGCATAAGTTTCGAATTTTCTGTTTACTGGAATTGTTTGTTTACAGTCAAAGGGTGAATGTGCGTTAATTTGTAAGTATTGGTTAAACATGTAGGATTCATCTATATTTCTAAAATTAATATTCGATCATTTTTGGAACATATACATATTTTAATAACAACTAATACATGTCCCGATATGTAAGTAATAATAAGTGTATATATGAGCAAATATGATGTGAACCTTCCATATTGATAATATGAATGTGAACAGAAATGATTACCTTGCGTAATGCACTAGGGGTTTGTGAATTTTGATCGTCGTGAGAAATAGTTCGCATTATTGGTGGCCCCTCGTACTCTCCATCGCTGTCCAAAGAGCTTGAACGTGTTTCATTGCTTTGACTACATCAAAACAATATTATTTGCTATTGTGAAATGCGGTACATAGTAGGGTTATGTCATTTTTACTTACTGCAGAAAATAATCAATGTTTACATAATTTGAGCTGCGTCCAGGTGATTCAGGGTCTGTCACACTCGCTTGACTGCTTAGGTGTGTGGCAGATCCGATTGGAAGCGTACTGCCTGGTGTAGAGAGGTCATCGCGACTAGACGAGGAACCGTTACCACCTGGTTTGATGTAAACATATTCACCTTCGCCGTTATCTAGCGGCACTGTGTCATAATACGGTTCATTGTCCACTGCAACCTTTGCACAATCAGAGCCCAAAGATGAAACTGATTCATAGCTTTTAATCTGGTAAAAACAAAATGGTTCAATTACAAATGTTTATGCAATTTACAAATAAATAATTATCAAATAAGAAACTGACCAAACAAATTTTTTACTCACAATTTCAGATATGCCTTGTGATGCTAGGGATTCCTTTGAACCCACAACTTGAGTTTGGCTATTTTCTGCGTCAGCCGCCTGAAGTGAATAATGTGATTTCTTTTCCAAGCTATTTGTTGAAGAACTATCTGCTACAGCTAGCTTTGAAGGTTTACTCAAGCTTCCGGTGGGTGATACACCCACCGCAGTGCCACTGGTACGACCACCTGTAACGTTTCGGTTTTGTATAGAAACTGTTCGTCCCAAACTGCCAGTAGGGCTTTGTGTTATTGCCATATCCGATCGCTTGGTTTTTTCAAGACTTTCCGATTTGCCAACTTTACGTCCCAATTCTTCCATCAAATCAGGCGGATTAAACTTCCCCAAATCCGATGTCGTTTTCCTGTTGGATGTAAGCGCCTTACCTTCCATAGATTCTGGTGATTTTTGCCGCAAAATGGCTGATGGTTTTAAATTGCGTTCAAGTGAATTCCCAGGACTATCAGATGACGACAAATTGCCAGATGCGCTAGGTAAGGGCATACTGCTACCAATATAAGGTGTATCGCGTTTTGGAGATGACGAAAGTTGGCCAGGTATAGTGGGTGGCTCGACGCGTCGGATATTCTTGGGAGGCGGTCTGAAAAAAAAATTAAATATAAAATAATAACCATAATTTAGTGTAATGCAAATAATTCATACCTTGGCGGCATTTTCTTTTTATTGTCGGCATGTGTTGCATACGATGATGCTGTCATTGAAGGCGACGTTAATGCAGGGGATAATGGTGGCGCAGTCGGTTCAACTTTGGTTGAAATTTTACGTTCGAAACTACTCAGAGATGGAGTCGTTGTGCTCTGCACTGACTCACTTCCTTCCAGTCCACTGTCCAAGTCGGCATCCATATTCGTTTTGCTCTCTTTCACCTCGATTACAGTAACAAAGTGTGATGATGCCTTCTGTGCATTTGTTTTTAATGGTTTCTGTACAGTTTCTACAGAAGATGCTATTTCAGATTCTTCAATATTTTCCAATGGTAAGTGACGAACTGCGTCATTATCGCTAGTTGTAGAATTTGTTCCAAACGAAGCAGCCAACTCATTTATACATTTATGTAGTGCACCATTCTCGTTTTGCTGACGAGTGTCCTTTTCAGTGCCCATATCCTTGTCTTCTTGTTCAAAACTTTGTTTTTTGGTACTACCGGCACCGGTTTCAGCAGATCCCGAGCTGATTTTGGAAATGCTACTAGTGTTGATACTACTGCCGCTGACACCCTCAACATATTTGTTGTCTGTATTGAGTGAATATCTGTTGCTTTTGTCTTTGTTGTCATTGCTGGCTTCACGTAAATTTAAACTAGATTTCTGCAAAGGAAGGAAGAGTTATCATAAGAGTTTATTTGGAAATTGAATAATATATTTTTCTGCAGAGGTCGAAGTTAAGAACAAAAAGTTTATATAAATTTAGTGATCATATCAGAGTATAAAATAATCATTTATATTCTATTAAAATAAAAAATAATTAAAATAAAACTTCACACATTTTGTTAATTTATTATAACACAATAACCATGAAAATTTAGACAAATGACTGCATCAAAGGATTTTGTCTTTTGTCATGGTAAACTGCGGAGGTGGTTTAAACATTGTAGAACTCCCCAATTTGTCTAATAACACTTGAATGCATTCCTAATATGAATTTCATATGTTTGTGGATACAATAGAATAAAAAAATCAACTTTATTGAGTTCTCCATCCCAACAAGTTGTTGACTCTTTATCCACAGCTTTTACTTATAAAATAATTTCAAGCTCTAGAATATTTTTCCATGTACTCTGCTGTGCTCTAAGCAACTTAGTGGATATGCTATGCGCATGCTATCAGTTGCACATAAGCCATAGTGTCCGACATGAGAAGCCAAGTATAAAAGATAGCTTAGGCATTGGAGTGTAAACAATTAAAATTAAAAAAAAACCCTCATAAAAGATTTTTTTTTTATACAGAAATTTAGCGTGGTCACTCGGCGCACCTACCATACATTTGACATAGCTAGGCGAATGCATAAAATTAAGTATGGAATTAAAAAGCACAACGAAATAACGAGGAATAAACGAAAGTCTATTGAAAATTAATTTTTATTAAATGATTAAATGCATCACACGATTTTGCGCTGAAGATAGCAGAGGTATTGACAGCTAGTACGGGGGCCAACTATTACAACTAACCGATCAGTATTAAATATTCGTGTATCTTTAAGTACATATGAATAGGAATATATGTGAGAATTATATATGTCTACAACTATCATGTGAAATAAGTATATTACTTTGTTCAATGTGCATACCATAACTACCATTTACAAGGAACGAAAAATACACGTTAAATACTTACATATGTAGACTGACACATATGTATATACATACATATGTATGTAGACACGTAAGTGTAAAATATAAATGCACGGGATGATGTATAAAATCATCAAAGTTAATAATAATGCAATAAAAGTTAATTAATGATAAGCTTTAGTATTTTAAGAACTTTTGAAAGTATAATGGTCACACACCTACTTATAAATCCTTAAAGAAATCTTGCATAGGCTTAAGTCATCACGGCTTTCAAGCCGAGTGTCAATTAATACCTTCAATTCAATGAGGAATCCTTATTTTGAAAATCTAATTGTGATGAAGGCATACGGCCAGAAGTATAATACTCAAATAAGTAATATATACTTATTATTAAATAAGTAATATGTAAACTATTCTATGAATGAGTGAGCAAGTATTGGCGTTTATTAAATGCTAACGTTATTGTGATTCACAAAGCGAGCAAGTGACTGGTGGCGGCTAAATACCGACACTGGCGATGAAACGCCTATGAATATCGTACAAGTATATGGTAGTATATCAGTACACACTCATGCAAGTACATTTCAAAGTACCTATGTATATTTGACGTTCAAAACAAAGATAATGAAATAAATATATACATACATATGTACATATGGGCATGTATTATAGTCTATAATTTATATGAACTGAAAAAGTATTGTTACAAACGATTTTACTTTTTTATGCCCTCTTCTACATTGCAAGTACTTAATGTAATATCTTTTTCATTCTAAGAAAGTAGTCACATTTATTTTTCATTGAAAGAATCGATTCAAAGTTTACCCCTCTTGTCCACAGTTTAAATTTTTCCTTGAAGGATGACATTGCAGCAGCTGCACGGTACAAACACTATGACTAGTATATGATTTAAAAGTAGGCGTCTTTGTCTTTGTATGCGTTTTCGATTAAAACTTTTTTTAACTTTTATTTTTACTGGTTACTTTCTGTTTCTTCTTTTCCGTAATATTAGGGAGTTGGCTTTGCACTTTGTGTTTATTTCTCTCGTTTCGAGTGGTAGATGCGCACCGCACGATACACCCACACACAATTACACGTCCAGCGACACTGCAAGTTTCATTGCCCAACGCCCTTCGCCCCTCAACAAAAACTAAATTGTTGAGTTAAAAGTCACTGTTGGCGTTGCAACACGCGCTTTTACGTAATTTCTGGATTTCTCTCACTTCTTACTACGTCACGTTGTTTTCATAATCGAGTTTTTGTTTTCATTACACTTTTTTTTTTGTTTTTGCCTGTTGTCAGGCTGACACAAGTTGCAAATGCACCGAAAGCCTTGTAAAGTTTTTCAATTTAAGGAGCAATACCTAGCGCACCGTGATGCCTCTTAAGCAAATAGGAGTGCGTTTTCGTACGCTTTTGTAGGAATCAGAGTTTGCGATTAGTGCTTTCTTATAGATAAAACTGAAAAATACGTGACATGCTATGTATTGGTATTTTTGGGAAAGTTCTTTGTGTCTTAAAAACTATTGAAACGTTTTTTGTAAATACGCGCTCCGTGTTTGCCTTTCGCCTACTTTGCAGACTATTGCGCTACTACTACAATACTCTTTTTTGTGGTGGCATAGAGTGTGGGCAGTGTCGGGTGGTTGATCTCCAGTGTTGAGTGAGTGTCGTGATTGTGGCACTGGTGGCCGATAGCTGCTTACGCGTTTGTTGTGATAAGATAACAAACTTCTTTTGCCATTTTTGATTTGTCGTTGTCGTGAAATCGCACCGTTATTGCTTCTGCTGCTTGTGAGCGACTGCGACAACTTTTTATTAACATTTTTAGCGAAAATTATGAGCTAAACAATGTTATATTTTTAGCGTTTGCGGTTTTTACTTACTACTTTTATTTGAAATTTTTCATCTTTGCTTTGCCTTGCCTTCGGTTAAGTAAAGTAGTTCCAGCAATATAAAGGGAACAAGTGCTTGATGTTGATAAGGAAATATTCTCTGTATAAATCACTTGCTCATATTTTCTGCTTTCCTATTTTTGCCAGTTTACTTGAATCCAACAAGGGTTAGAGTATGTAAACCAAATGTTTTCATAACAATGAAGAAGTTCATATTTCTATAAGTCCTAATCCCAATTTCTTATAATGACTAGTGCTGTTCACGGGTAATATATTTTATAAAATACATGTGTATTTATATATATGTACATATATATTTTATAAATTACAATTCTGTTATTTTAGATTAGCTATGTATACAGTTTTTAAATATTGCAGTAGGGTTTATTTCAAAATTAACGGATAATATGTAAAAATACTCGTTAGATTTAAATTTCTAGTTGGAAAGAAACCAAAAAATAAGCAGTATTCCTTTAAGATTCTTTTCGTTTCTAATAAAAATCACAAACTAGGTTTGATGTTCTGAGCTTGAGAAATCAGTGTGCATTATTTATTACTTTTTTACTATTAGATCATAAAATGGCACTGTTTAGAATTTAAACCTTTTGAAGTTCTCCTAATTTAACATAGTGATGTCCACATTTTGGGTATATGTATATGTATTAACATATCATATTTTTGTATAATAAATATTCTTACCGATATATTAATTGCACAAGCATCTTCTCCACTAAGCTGGTTTGCATCAGTATCGGCTTGCAGTGTTGTATTAGATGTGGTAGCAGCTTCGAACAAAGAAGTTGGATCTCCTCCAGATTCACGAAACTTTTCAACGTCTGACAGTAAGCGCTCCAAATATTCGACATAAAGTTGCTCTTGCTCCAATTCTTTTGTCAATTCAACAATTTTTAACTTGTGTCGTTCTAAGCTGGCTCTCACATCTTGCTCCCACGCATCTGATAGTGAACTTTGTGGAAAACGTTGCATCCACAATCGTTGAAAATCATTAAATACACTCATTATACTATTTTCGTAGACCTTTTTGCGATATTATTTTATTTATTATTATAATTTTTTTTTTTTGAATTGTAAACCAAAATTTTAATTTATTTCTGTAACAAATTATTTGCAAATCGTTACAGTATTTATAATGTTAGTGCTTGTTGTTGGCTTTGTATCTCTTAAATGTCTCTCTGTGCATCATACTGCTGCAATCTATTCAAATATATATGTCCATTCGTAAACAAAATAAAATATTTTTTACAACCGAAGTGTTGTATGTAGGTATAGGTGCTTATATACTGTTACAAACATATGTTTGACTGCAAACATAAGAAAGATGATATGCCACGCATAAGTCATAACAATGCAGCCAAAATCTTCTTACAAGTTTTCTTTCTTTTTCAATGACGCCCACATGTAGTCTAGCAAAAGTGGATTGCAAAGTGGCCACAGATGCTGCGCTTTGCTCATTGACCACTGTATTGCAAATACATTCAACAAACATGCAATCAATCCTAAACGGTCCAGTTTACTAATTTATATAAAAGTTCACTGCCACTTTCTATGCGCCCTCCTCCACAGCAAAAGTGAAAATACGAAAAATATAAAAGACAACAAATTTCTTTCTAAAGTAACTCTACACCCATTTTTAGAGAACCAATATATACCTAAGTAAATGCACTTATAGAAAGGGGTATTTTCTTGCACGTCTTGTACGGCTCCTACTGAAAACCAGAAGCCATGTATTTCTTAATTTATTTGTTGTGCTAATTATCGTAAAGCGCTTATGTTTCTATTAAATTATTTGTATCGTGTCTAGTTGAAAATAGAAAAAAATTAAAGCCCGAAGTACGACTCAAATCGAAATGCAAATTGCCAACCACGATGAACGGTTCCAGCCACCGAATGAACGAATGGTTGGCTTTGCTTTGTGTTACTCTTCGCCGACTTTTGCTTAGCACTCCGTTTTCACACACATTTAGCAAAGCACATACCGAATTTCTTCACATTTTTTGAACTTTTTCGAACAATCTTTCACTTATTTTTCATAGTAATATGATTATATTTAACACTCTATTATTTTTAATAGCTGATTGAAAATCAAAGGAATAACTTAAAAAAAGTAAGACACTCCCGTGAAATACGCAACTGAATGCATTCGCTTCCGTATCTATTGTTTTGTTGTTGTAATACATCACAGAGTTGCATTCGGATGTAGTAGGATTACAGGTGAAAAGACCGGTTACTGAAATCGATACTTTTTGCCGATATCAAAATAGTGATGATGTTTGAGATCAGAGGGAGCCGGTATTCATAAATCGGGTTTTTGTTAAACCGATTTTTTTTTATTACTTTAAATCAATACTTAAATTAAATAAATTTATTCTCGGAAAACTATATCATTTGAACGATTCTGTCTTCAAAAAATTCAACATATTGGTAATAACAAGCTGGTGATTGCATATTCTTGGAGAATTTTTATGAGTACATTTCAGGAATTTGTGGTACTTGCATTCTTATAAATTACCAATTAGCGGTGTATTTAATTTCCCCTCCTTTTACACCCAACTATATTTTTACATATAAAACATACTGCTTCATGGAAGTTCAGTACAAACTATTTTATTTACTTTTTCATTTTGTCTTCACATCCCGATGTTTAACAAAATCCCATAATTAAAAACATTTAACTGATACAACCATCAGCTATTTAGCCTTGTTTTTGTGCCAATTCACGCGCCTTAGCACGTTCCAATTTAGCAATACGAGCCAAACTCTTGGAGCCCAGGACACCACCACCCCAGTGTTTACGGATTTCATCATGGCGGTCATTGTAGTTAGTCTTGATGGCCTCCAGAATCTTTGCGAAGTTCGCCTTATCGTTGGCCTCCACATTTGTCAACGCCAAAGCAGTGCAGGTCTTACGGCGCACCAACAATCCAAGGCGAGCTTTGCCTTTGACAATGCAATAGGGAACACCCATTTTACGGCAAAGTGCAGGAAGGAAAAGTACCAGCTGTAGTTAAAAATATATATTTATAATTAATTCATGGCTGTGCTAACATCACTCAAATAACTATAGCCAACAATTAATCAGTATGTCAAGTTTCCACATTCAATTGTTAATTACAGAAAAAACAATTTCAGTTGAAGAAATTCAAGTTAACATCATTTTTAAAAGTTGGTATATATTTATTTGACACAACTTACCTCCAAGGGGTCAACGTCGTGAGCGATGACAACCAATTGGGCCTTCTTCTGTTCAACCAACTTGGTTACGGTGTTTGTACCAGAACGCACAAAGGAAGGCTTCTTTTTGGGTTGGACATCTTTACCCTTAGCTTTAGCTTCGGCAATTTTCTTCAATCGTTGCTTTTTAGCCAAAGCCGACTCGGGGCGGTACTTTTCCAACAACTTGAATGTCTTCACTGCTGTGGTTTTATCCAGAGTTTGGGTAAACTGGTTAATTGGTGGTGGCACCTTCAAACGCTTTTGCAATACAGCTTTTTGGCGTTGAACACGAATGTATTTGGGCCATTTAACGAAACGAGATAAATCACGTTTAGGCTGCACATTCTGACCTATAAAGACACATAAATATTAATAACAAAATACAGCTTTGATGTAGTTGTTAAAATCACCAATGCCAAAGTTCTTTGGGCGCTTTTCAAAGAGTTGGTTCACCACTTTCCTTACTACTGGCTTCTTCACGGCCAATGGTGCAGGAGCAACCTTCTTGGTGACTGGCTTCTTCTTTGGCCTAGGCTATAAGAGGAAATTAGATCACTTTTAACACGACATATAAAAAAACAAAAACATTTGCTTGCAATGATTGCAGTAATTCATAGCATTTTAACACTTTGCATATTGCGTACACAATTAAATAATTCACATCACATTACTATTTACCTTCTTCACAACCATTTTCGATTTTTTTTAAAAACGCGATGTAATTGAAAAAAGCAGATTATAATAGCGGCCCGAAAAAAGAGCTGCTTCTACGTCTGCCTGTCAAAAAGGTAAAGGAATCGAGACAGCGGAAATCGCGTCGATGTCAATTAGATGTCAAATATCATAAATAGACAACAGCGACACCTTCTGGTAAAATCATTGGGGCACGTTCGCACACAATAACTAAGTAAAGCGTTTCACGCAATAGTGTATTATTTTCAACAAAATGTTTTGCTGTATAAAATGTGTATAATTCATTTATATATTTATTGCATATTGGAAGACTACATTTCCTTAAATCATTTCAGATGCAGAGTTTTACCAGAGAACGTAAAGTCAGAGAACTTAAAACATAGAGAAGGAAGGAATTTATAAAATTGTGATACGGAATTTCACCTCACAATTACAGAATTCACGCTGTGAAATGTCTGGGAGTATCGTCATGGGCATGAATACATAAGTATATTTATGTCTCTTTATATTCTTGGGTATGCGAGACAGAGAACACAATAAAAAATGTCTTTATGTTCTTTGTGTGAGAGGTGTGTTTTGTACGCATTTTTCGCTGTTAAAAGTGGAATATCAAAGAACTTATTTTTCTTCAATATTCTCTGCTTGGGCATATATGGCATGTCATTATAGGCCGAAAATATATATTATATGTTATAAATATCTGAGAGTTGTACTCTGTTTGAGTATGTGAGAGAACTGTTAAAAATGTTAACATTTCACAGCGTGAATTCTGTAGTTGCGAGGTGAAATTCCGTATCACAATCTTATAAAATGTTCGACATCTCACCTGCACTTTCTCTATGTTTTAAGTTCTCTGGATCATATGTATATAAATTATGGTCGAGTCGGTTGCTTCTAAGCGCAATAAACGAATCTCTAGGCGTAAATTTGTTTACATTGGATTTAGCATTATTTTTCTCAATTAACACTGAAAATGCTCAATTCTGCTACTTTCGTGATGAAACACGCTTATAATTTGTCTGTGGTGAAACTCCTCCATCTCGACCGAGTTAGCCAAAAATATTTTTACGATCTCCGCGCCGTGAACCTTCTCTATGATAAACGTTCTCTGGTAAATGTTTTAAATTCTCTGACTTATCGCATTTTGTTAGCTTTTGACAGTTTACACGACTGTCCGTTGTTTGATCTTTTTTATAAATATACGTTCTCTGCTGTTAGATCACTTTGACAGTTTTCTTTTGAACTCCTTTCCTTTCATTCTTTTTGTAGTTTTCGTATAATTTTAATTAGGATCAATTGATCTGCTCTGATTTAATTGTAATGAAATGATATTTATACAAAAATTTACATATTTGCAAGAAAAGTGATTAGCTAACTATGGTTGTTGTATATCCGCTTTCAATTGAAAAGCAAGCGCTTTGATCTATAGAAAATGATTACTTTCGTGTGCAAGTGAATGTAGAGCCACCATTTTTATTTTTGTGTTTATTTTGTGATCGACATTTAGTGTGTGAATTGGGAGCAGATATATCGAGTGAATAAATGATCGTTTTGGATTATATTTGTTTCACAAATTGTCAATATAGTAATATAAATTGTTTTGCGCTTTGAATTGGTTATGCAGCGGTGAAATAAGAAATAGACTCTCCGATTTTGCGGTTAGCTTTCGCTAATGGCAGGTCACGGTTGCGTTGGTGTTGGGAGTGGGGGAGGTATTGGTGGTTGCGGAAGCGGTGTAGGCGTTGCAAGTGGAGGTTCTGGAAGTGGGGGTGGTGCAAATGCAAACGTGAACACCCACGCAGTAGTCGTTTGGGAGTACGAATCCAGCAATAGCAAGTGGCTACCCTACAGTCCTGGTAAATAAACAATTTATAATATATTTTTTAGATTACTAATTGTATTAATTTCTTTTTTAGATGTCTCTCAACATTTGGAGCGGGCACATGCCAAAAAGTTGACGCGCGTCCTTCTCAGTGATGCCGACCCACAACTTGAACAATATTATGTTAATATACGGACTATGACTCAAGAGTTAGAAGAAGACTCTGGGTTTTCCACCATTAATGTTCGTCGAATGTTTTATGTACCCAGTTCTCCACCAGGCAAGGGTACCAAATGGGAACGTTTGGGTAGCGCGGGGCCCGGCGATTGGCATCCGTTCAATATGCATTTACAGTGTATAATAGAGGATGCGTGGTCTAAGGTGAGTTTTTTTAATTTAGTGTGAAATGGAATTAAAATTTGTTAAATGTTTCTAGGGCGAACAGCGGCTGGATCTATGCAATACAAGATATGGAACACCCTACATAATAAATTTTTGTAATCTAACGCAAATTCGTCAGCCGAATGGACCAATCCGTAGCATTCGCCGTACACAACAGGCACCATATCCTCTTGTCAAATTAACGCCTCAACAAGCACAGCAACTTAATGGTATTGTAATAGATAAATAATGAATATCACTCACTCTGTTTATACATATATTTTATAGTGAATTTCTATAATGACTTCTGTACTAAACGAAACAACACCCTCCCGAAAACCTCTGCTAAAATAAGTGACACAAAACAATTGCAGCAGCGTATGTCATCCCATAATAATGGGCTGGCAACGACTTCGATGTCACATGGCAGTCGGCAACCTCAGCCGTTGCCTCCAATGGCAACAACATCCAGTCAGCATCTTCAACATGGCCATCACCAACAGCAACCAATTCACCATCATGGCAATTCTCACCTACAAACGAGTTCGCATGCGCATACACAACACCGCAGCAAGTCACACAAGAAGAACGGAGAAATGTCCACCACTAATTTGCGCCATATACTAAACAACTTGAATATATTCGGAAGTAGTACAAAAAGTGGCAACCCCCATTTGAACAACAATATGCCGCAGCTTGGACATAATTCAATGGCTTCATCAGTAAATCACTTGAGTATGCCATTTTCACATTCAAAAACACCACTGACTGCGTCTATGAAAAGCCACCACAGTCGTTGTTCAGATGGTTCTCTACAATCTCAGCGTAGTAGCCGTTTGGGATCGCACCGATCACGTTCACGCACTCGTGCTTCGGACACTGACACAAACAGCATGAAATCGACAAGACGCCCCAGTGTAGACACTGTTTCCACCTATTTATCGCACGAAAGCAAAGAAAGTCTTCGTAGTCGCAATTTCGCCATATCTGTAAACGATCTGCTAGATTGTTCGTTAGGCAGTGATGAGGTTTTTATACCATCACTGCCGCCCTCCTCTCTAGGTGAACGTGCACCAGCACCCCCGCCACTTCCGCACCACGCGAGTTCGCTAAATTTAGCGCCCTCTGTTGGAACAGCAGGAGGCTCTGTAACCGTTGGTTCCTCTCTTCACAACATCAAGCCACATCAATCTCAACAACATATATTATCCTCGGCACAACAATCGACCATTGCCGGTTCCATAGTGGGCGTGGATCCGGCGAGCGATATGATATCAAGATTTGTCAAGGTTGCCGAGCCGCCGGTGTGGCCCAACGCGCAACCGTGTCCCATGTGCATGGAAGAGCTGGTGCAAAGCGCACAGAATCCGACCATAGCACTGACGCGCTGCCAGCACTTAATGCATTTACAATGCCTGAACGGAATGATTATTTCGCAGCAAGGTGAAATGTCTAAAGTAAGTTATAGCAATCGGACTATGTAATATACATATATAGATTGCAATTAATGCTATTATACTCACAACTTTCCATTTCTAGAACCTCTTTATTGAGTGTCCAGTATGTGGCATTGTTTACGGCGAGAAAGTTGGCAATCAACCTAACGGCACCATGTCGTGGAGTATTATAAGTAAAAGTTTACCCGGACATGAAGGTCAGAACACCATACAAATTGTTTACGAGTAAGCGAGCGCCTGCATTTTAAGTTGCCACAACACAACAACAATGATATTAAATAAAAATTACTTGCAGCATTGCATCTGGCGTGCAAACTGAGGAACATCCCCATCCAGGTCGTGCATTCTTTGCCGTTGGTTTTCCGCGCGTCTGCTATTTACCTGACTGTCCGCTTGGTCGCAAGGTATTACGATTCCTTAAAATCGCTTTTGACAGACGTCTTCTCTTTTCCATTGGCCGTTCGGTGACCACAGGGCGTGAAGACGTGGTCATTTGGAATAGTGTTGATCACAAAACTCAGTTCAATATGTTCCCTGATCCCACATATTTGCAGCGTTGCATGCAACAATTAGTACACTTGGGTGTCACCGATTAATGAACACACGCAAACTCGACCGATCTAAACATATACATATATAACAAACATATGCATATGTACTTATAAGTCTTATTCATTATTATCATAATTTAATTAAGTGTGCAATTTGAAAGTGTTTCAAAGAAAGTCGGGTTTGAGTTGCTCGAACGTTAAACACCCAAGTGGCCTTTGCATTGCGGTAACCGTAAAGTACAGAAACGTGATGGTTGGTGAACTGTAACAAACGCATATTTTCATAAGCTTTAAAAGTGTAGGTTTTAAAAATTTACAAGACTTCCTTGAATGTTCTTCCATTTATTCTCTATTTTTTTTTTTTATATTTTAAGTAGTTTTATTTTCATATACACACATACATATACATTTGTAAGTTTTTGTTAAATTAGCACAGTAGCACAGTAATTCCAGTGCATCGCTTAGAAATTAAGCGCCAAAAAATGCACATAGTTAAAATGTGTGCCAGAACGCCAGTATAGATAAACTTTATAACTGTATTAATTACAACAGGATTACATATATGAATAGAACTAGTACCTCCCTTTCAATGTTTTTTTTTATAGTGCAAAAGAATTTTTTTTTATAGCAACTGCACACACAAAATTTTTGTAATTTGGTAGAGAATACGATTTTAAACATTGCAACGAAGTTTTGTACACATCAAGCATACAATTCTCTTTTGCGTATCTCAAGTATTGCCAAACGAATAAATTGTCTTTGATATACATATGTTTATAATACCATAAGACAATAGTTTTTGTAAGTTGAATTTTTAAGTTTTAAGAATCTCCTCCTATATATGTATGTAGGTGTAAAAAATTGAATTGTGTGATCCATGGCATGATTTTAATGGTTTTTGTCTGTTTTTCTAGTTAAGAATATGGTATTTTTCTTGTAAAAGTATTTTATATAATTTTAGTGTGCATTTTTTATTGATACCTATAATTTTGTAGGAAAATGGTGTACAAGTGGAACTGATAAGTTAGTTTTATTAAGATATAGCCGTACAGGTTTCATGATCTTTAGTGTAGATTTCAATTTGCAAATAAATGATTTTATAATATATGTATGTAAAACTGTCGACGTTATTTGAGCTGAAAAGTTTTGTATTGCTTTTACAGATATTAATAAAAAATATAATACGAATTAAAACAAACTTCACTTAAATACTTACGCAAAATTCTTGTAGTTGCAGCGACATCAAATGCTCTCCAAATAATTATGGTAAATGTGGTTACAAATAACGGCTGTTTTTGGAACGGTGTTGTATTATTCGCTTTGGTAGCCAACAAATGCAATTTCAGTTGTTAATAAGCTAAAGAAGTCAAGCTTGGTGACCGTACTATTTTACGTAGACACCGCTTATGCGGTTATAGCGAGTGCGCCAGTCGTTTCTTCTTTTCGCAATGCGGCGCCAATTGGAGATTCGATGCGAAGCCAGGTCTTTCTACACCTGTTCTCTTCAACGAAGTGGAGGTCTTCCCTTCCTCCTCTTTCCCCGGCGGGTACTGCGTCGATTACTTTCAGAGCTGGAGTGTTTTCATCCATACGGACAACAAGAGCTAGCCAGCGTAGCCGGTGTCTTTTAACTCGCTGAACTATGTCAATGTCGTATATCTCATATAGCTCATCGTTTCATCGAATGTGGTATTCGCTGTTGCCGTTGTAGAACCTTTCCTTCGAAAACTCATAACGTAGGCTCATCAGAAGTTTTCATCGTCCATGCCTCTGCAGCATGTAGCAGGACGGGAATAATGAGTGACTTATAGAGTTTGGTTTTTGTTTATCGAGAGACGACTTTACTTCTCAATTGCCTACTCAGTCCGAAGTAGCACCTGTTGGCAAGAGTAATTCTGCGGTGGAATTCGACACTGACATTGTTGTTGCTGTTAATACTGATTCCAAGATAGACGAAATTATCTACGACTTCGAAGTTATGACTCTCAAAAGTGACGTGGGAGCCTACTCACGAGAGCAGCGACTGTTTGTTTGATGACAGGAGATATTTTGTCTTGCCCTCATTCATTTTCAAGCTATTAATTTTAGAAAGAGTCGAGTTTAATCGTACCCGAGCAAATGAATTTCTCAGAAGAATAACAAGATATTTCCTGTGAGCGCTTGAGTGGTCCTTATCACGAATAACAGCAGTACTCGTTGATAATGGTGATTACATCGTTACAAAATTCAGCTTCCACGACGAACTACCGCTCAAGAGCCTTGTTATATTCACCATATGTAAGTATCTACTAGCTACTTTGCTAGTTCCACTAGTAATATATTTGGGTATTTTCGGAAACCTACGATCACATATTTCTCTTTTCCATAGAATTGTTAAAGAAGTTAGAGGAATTGGTACATTGCTGAATGAGGCCTAAGCGCTGTATTTATTGTTATCAAGCAGTCATAGCTGTCAAATCTTTACTCTGAAATCTTCGCTCAAAATCAGCTTATAATCATCTTCGACATTTTTATATAAACATGTACATATGTATCTATTTAGGAATCAGCATACAGCTGATAAAGAGGATATTCGAGTCTCAATCACTGCGGCAGTATCGCAAGGCATCATATTCGACGCAAAGATGTTGCAATATAAGTATCAGCAGAGTATCTGCAGAAAGACAACACTGTCGCAATATTGCTGCAGTTATTTGCTTGCTCGAACATCCCCAAACAAATAAAGTCAGCCTTAAAATAAACGTTAACTTTCTCGAGGAACTACTTTGTTCTGAGAATATTTTTAAATTTAAAGTCCTCCCTCGAGGAACTTCAATAACAACATATTATAAAAGATACAGAAGAGTAAACAGCGAAAAAACCAGAATAGGCAGCTCTCAAAGTGTTCGAATACTGAGTTCTTTGTTCTATTAATTCGAATTCAAACGCAAATAGATATTCCTTAGCCTTATTGTCTAACGGTAATTCAGAATCAAAGCATCACAAATGGATATGCATATAGATTATAATTACAACAGATCTGTTTCTAGGGTCTTCTGGCTTGACGGAGGAAATTTGGAAATGTAAGCCGGTTACGACCCTTCACGCTATTGTTCCACTTGCAATATTTTGTAATACTTCCGAAGTTGTAAATTTTAATCCAATATTATACAATTTTTAAAGATCTATAATAAATTTGTATATGTATAAGTTTATAGGTGCATATGTATGTATGTGTGATAACAGTATGTATGATGTGAAGCGGTTTTGCTTCTTCCTCGTAACAGTGTTGTTCACGCCGAATATGGAGCGATGAAGGAGTTTCAGGTGAAACAACATTGATCATTACGCACTGCCTAGTTTTTTAACAATTTTTCCATTTGTATGTGTAGCACAACTCCACATATGTAAATACATTGTTGTTACAATGCAATAAATAATGTCGTATGTAATATTAAACTATTTATGGCACACACAAAACCAACACACTAACAAATGTATGGATGTGCCTGCCGGTCGCAACGAATGGTGATCTTCTCGTAGGGCGGTGACGTCACCGCTACACATAACTCTGCGCCCACCACAGCGCAAGGACAAACTTATTTAGGACGTGACAATGTGACATTACCAAATTTGGTGTGAATAAGGTTTCGAACGATTATTAAGTGTAGCCGATTTTTAGTGATGGCATTCAGTTGTAAATTCCCTTGAGCATTTTCCAATGCCTTTTACTCATACTTTTATTTAAGTAAAATGCTTCGCTTTCAGCTTTTGTTGTTTGACTGAAGTTGTGCGTTATATAAGGCATACAGTAGCGAGAAAAATGCTAAAAGCGATTTGGTTTATGGACATTTGTTATAAATATACTCTGCCAGTCGATAGAGATCACCTCTAGTCTGTGTTGCATTAGAGCGAATATCGAAGTTGTCAATAACTAAACGCCATTAATTCAGTCGTGAAAAACTTGACAATTCCGTGAAATACAAAAGGAATGAATGAAATTAATTTTTATTCGCAATTTAAATAGTCATCCAAAACAGTTAAGTCCTCTTACTTAAGTACATATATACACACACTTTAATATACACAAGTGTCCACATTTGGATTATACTGCATTTCAACTTCTTCTTCTTTACTGGAACCTTTCTTTCGAAAACTCGTAACGTCGACTCATCAGATGTTGTCATCGTCCATGGCTCTCACTATATATCAGGACGGGAATAATGAGATACTTATAGTGTTTGGTTTTTGTTCGTCCAGAGAGGACTTTACTTCCCAATTGCCTACTTAGTCTGAAATAGCACCTGTTGGCAAGAGATATTCTGCGTTGGATTTTGAGTCTGACGTTGTTGCTGGCGTTAATGCTTGTTCCAAGGTAGACGAAATTTTCAACGATTTCGAAGTTATGACTGTCAACAGTGTTGTGGGAGCCTGGTCACGATTAAGATGACTGTTTGTTTGATAACAGGAGATATTTCGTCTTCTTCTCGTTTACCACCAGACCCATTTGCTTCGCTTTCTTATCTATTCTGGAGAAAGCAGAACTAACGGCGTGATTGTTAAGGCCAATGATGTCAATATCATCGGCGAATGCCAGCTGCTGTAGAACAGAGTCATGTGAAGAAGCAAGTGAGGAAAGTTCCCTGATCGTCATTTTATTGGGAGTGGCCACGATTTCCGGTGTTAGACCAAGTATCCTTTGTATTCATACTTGATTTTGATCGGCTGGTTTGCATGTTAGCCATTTCGTCTGAGAATATACCGCCGTTTTGGATACTAATATATGCCAAATTTCGTGAAGATATCTTGTCAAGTAAATAAATTGACTCTATAAGAACTAGACGCTGATCGTTCGGCATGTATGACAGCGAAATGTTAAGTTGTCCGATATAGCGGTTCCGACAAAGGAACCGTTTCTAGAGGCGAAAAATAAGTATGCGAAATTTCAAATTAAGATACAGATAGACCAAAATGTTTAAACGACTTAGCCATATCATTTACCATATAGATTGTATATGGTATACAGTATACGGTATAAAGTATAAGGTCTTCGACGTCTTCCTCTGGGTGTTTTCAGTATCGAAAGAATTTGGGTCTGTCGGCAACGTTCTTACCAAATTAATAAATATGGCAGTACTAACTCCTTAGTCGTCAGAGAAATACATTTGTTTTTAATTTTCAATTAAATTTCCGGTTTTCTATTAATATTAGAGCAATTTGTTTGTTAAGCAATATAAAAATACAAATTGCAACAATCAAATAAGAACAATATTTAGTTGCAATTATTTGTACATCAATCAGTTAAGAAGAAATGCACATTCATCAGCGTGAGTTATCACTGCATTGACAAGTTTGTGCGAAATGCACTGCTTTGCTTTTATTGACAGCTAAATCTGGAGGTTAGCCTGTTCGGTGTCTCCAGCTTGCGTCTCTCGTCCAGTCCAGTCCGTCTTTGCATGCAATTGCAATTTTGTAGTTGTTATTTTTTACGTTAGAGCTCGATATTTATTCTACTTATTGATTCCATATGACTGTGATGGGGCTGTGCTGCCTGCTGCAATGTCTAAAGTGATATCGTGAAGATAATTGCAATTGCAACGTTCAGTTCATCGTGTTAACTCGATAACGACGGTTGTGTGGCTGCGGTCATAAATAGCTCAAAAAGTTGTCTCAACGGTTGTGTACCCAGTGGCTTAAACAAAAAAAAAAAAAAAAAACATAATAATAATAAAAAATAAAATTTTCAGCAAATTCAAAAGAAAAAGCAATTTCGATTTCAAAACACTTTTGAATATTTTGGGCCGATTCTCGCCCTCTGGTTGGTGCTAAGTGAGTTTACTCAAGACTTATACCTATGAGTGAGACCTACTTCGAGACAAATTTTTAAATAATTCACAGCAAATTTGCTTTCAAAGTGCCAAACGTGTTGACTTTGCAGAATTGTATTGTACTTTTTGTCATTCAATAGAATCGCTAAATATATGTACATATGTACGCTTAAGTATTTCTGTTGTTTTTCCCACCAGCCTCAGCGCCGTGCAACATTTGATATACGCCGGTAAGTTGCGAGTTTGTGGCTAAGCGCTGGTGCTGGTGCTTGTTCACCAAAACCACAAATCAATCAAAACATTTTTTGCGC